TTGAAGGAGTTGTGTCTAGTGGACAGTTTTTCCAAATCATCAGATAGTGGATTGATATGTCATGAACGACGGTGTGTTCCAATAGTGGAGGAGCTAAGGAACGAGATACTAACCGAGGCTAATAACTCGCAGTTCTCTAAGCATCTAGGCAATACCAAAATTTGAAACAACATTTCTAGTGGTGAAGTATGAAAAAAAGTCAGCTGAATTTGTGAGTAAGTGCCTAGTATGTCAACATGTGAAAGCCCTTAGATAGAAAAGGGTGAGATTGTTGCAACCCCTCAATATACCAAAATGGAAGCGGAAAAATATTGTTATGGACTTCACCGTAGGCCTACCTAAAACATTGAAAGGATATACAGTAATCTGGGTAATCGTTGACATATTGACTAACAGCAGACTTCCTACCTAGTATGGCAACGTATATAGTAGATAATTGGGCTCCGCTATATGTGAAAAAAATTGTAAAGCTACATTGGGTTCCAGTGCTGATAGTGTCGATTCAAGACCCACGCTTTACATCAACATTTTGGTGCAAACTCTAGAAAGTGTTGGGTACTCGACTCGACTTTAGTACTGCCTTCCACCGGCAAACAGACGATCAGACTGAGCGTTTGAACCAAATTTTAGAAGATATGTTGTGCGCTTGCGTATTGAATTCTACAAGGAGCTGGGACTCCAAGCTGCATCGAATGGAGTACACATAAAACAATAGGTTTCAAGCAACTATTGGAATGGCACCGTTTGAAGTGTTATATGGAAAGTGGAGTAGATCCCAATTGTGGTGGGATGAAGTGGGTGAACAAGAACTAATGGGACCGAAGTTAGTCTGAATTATCAATGAGCCCGTATAAAAGGTCAGGGCAAGAAAGCTTACCGCTCAAAGCAGGTAGAAGAGCTACGCTGATGTAAAGCGTAGTAGTTTGAAATTCGAAGTAGAGGATATGGTATTCTTGAGGGTGGCCCCAATGAAAGGTTTTTTGAGATTCAGACGTAAGGACAAGTTAAGTCCTCGGTTAATCAGACCCTTCAAAATCGTAGAGTGAATTGGACTAGTGGCATATAAGCTGACCCTACCACCCTCACTCTCAAGTGTACATGATGTGTTTCATGTGTCAATGCTCAGAAAAGTATATAATGAACCCTACTCACATGATAGATTACGAGCCCTTCAAATTGACGAGAACCTGAGTTACGAGGAGAAACCTGTAAGGATTCTAGCTTGTGAGGTGAAAGCCTCATGCACCAGAGATATTACATTCATCAAGGTATTGTGGTGAAACCACCAAACAGAGAAGCCACGTGGGAACGAGAAGATGAGATATGAGAAAAATATCAGTGGGTCAGACACCATGGTTGTGCAAGCTCGCCTGGTGGTTCATGCTCGCATGTGTGGGTCATACGTAAAGAAGTACTACACGTCTAACCTTCCCTGGACCGGAAAACTATTTAAGGTCATGCTATGATATGTTAAAAGCATATGTCTCATCATGCTGCATGTGTTTATGTTTCCCGACCTCAATAGTGGGGTTACTTATTGAATATTTCTTAAAATACTCAAGTCATGTGCTACTCTTACATTTTAGATAAAGATCCCAGTAAAGATGTTGGTCGCGTCATGATGAATGTCATGGAACCAGTGTCAGGGTAGTTGCATTTTGTTTATTTCTTAGTCTTAGGTTAGATTACGACAATATTTTATTTTCCTAGTGCTGTTACAATTATTACGACATTTATTTTAGTTTTATATAATTTGGTGTTGTTTTAAAGATTTTTACTTTCAACGTTTAAGCCTATAGTATTGTTTATGAACTATTTTAAATGAATGTTTCGGTACTGGTTTAGTAAAATCAGTTCATTGCCCAAATGATTGGTAGTTGAATTCAAAACAAATAAAAATTCTTAAACGAGTGTTTTTTACAATTCCATCTAAACTTTTAATAATCAATTATTAAACCCTCGAAAATTAGGTACAAAATAATGTAAAAATGGGTAGCTTCAATTAATTTTGTTCTTAAATAATAACTTCAATTGAATAAGTTTTAAGTGCATTCATTTTGTTGATTAACCCTTGCAAGAAAACCCAATTACTTTCCAAAAATCCAAAGATTGCATTATTTTGAAGTGAAGGGCTTCATCAAAGTTATTGTTTTCTTGGAGGTCCAACAATGGTGGAGGAGAGGAGCTTACACAACCCTAAACCTCAACCTCAATGTGCACTCTTAAGCTTCCTATCTTTTGAACAATGTTAATTTCCTTGGGAGGGTTAGTTAATGGAGAGATTACAACTACAAAACCAAAAAGTCAATGATGAAAAATAAATCCTAATAATTTCTCTTTAATATAGATTTCAAGGTACCTGTTTTTATAATTGCATAGGTGTGGAGGCTAAACCCTGCCGGCCGAACTCTTTATTTAATTTCATATTGTATTTCTTAAATATTGTATTTTTTGTTTGTATGACTACACAGCAAAATCATGTCTAGGCCTACAAGACCTGAATCGCCCCAAAATGTACTATAGGGGGTGTAACTAGTTGTCAACTTGTCCTCCTTATTGATTTTGTACGACCGTTCGGCGAAATCACGTCTAGGTTTGCCAGAACTAAATCGCCTCAAAATGTACCATACGAGAATGAGACTAGTTATCAAATTCTCCTTACCCTCAAAGTTATATGCTATTTAAGCCATTGTGTTGCCTTTTGATTATAGTTACATAAAGTTTCTTTTAAAATCTTCTCATTCTTACTTTCAAACTCACTTTTAAAAATCTCTCTATCCTCATTTCTAAAACATTATTCTCAAATGGGGCCAGAGACTTGAGTATACGTTGCCTGGCCGTAGGTGACGTGAATACAAATTGACTTGACTCACTAGGTGTTAGGATTGAGTGCTGCACAATTGCAAAGTTCCCTGCTAGGAAAAGTGCGATGGCTTGTGTCTATTATCTATCAAAAGGTATTGGTTCTCGATCCTTCTCTCAGGTTCATCGATCCTCTCGTCCTTTCATATATGAATAAAAGTGTCGAGTGGTTTTTCAATCTTGATTCACTTTTTCGCTTCATCCAACTCCTTTTAAATACATCTTTCATCCTCACACTCACTCATTCACTATATTTTCACATACCTCTTTATTTCGTATATCAATGATGCCAACCATTGACTTTACCTTCAAAGTACGAAAATGCGAACCAGAAGTGATTGTTCCAGCAAATCCTACACCCCATGAATTTAAGCAACTCTCAGATATGGATGATCACCAAAGCTTAAGATTTCAAATTCCATTACCAAATTTCTATGAACATAATCCAAATTTAGGAGGGAGAGACCCGGTAAAGATAATAAAAGAAGCAATTGCAAGGACGTTGGTGTTTTATTATCCTTTTGCAGGAAGACTAAGAGAAGGGCCAGGTAGAAAGCTATTTGTAGAATGTACCGGTGAAGGAATCTTGTTCATTGAATCAGATGCAGATGTAACCTTGGAACAATTTGGCGATGCTCTTCAATTTTCATCTTCACTTTCATGGTTTCAAGATGTTATATACAATGTTCCAAATTCTGATAGTATGGTTAATTCTCCATTATTACTCATTTAGGTATAATAGCATATTTGTTTAAACATTTATTTGCAATACTTCTAGAGGTTTGAGATTCAAATCTATACCCCTCCTCAGTTATACTAAAAAAATAACAATTGATTTGAGTTTTTGTCTCTCTATTGGTCATGTAGGTGACACGACTCAAGTGTGGTGGTTTCATTTTTTCTATTTGTTTTAATCATACAATGGTCGATGGTTTCGGCCTCGTCCAATTCATGAAGGCTATAGTAGAGATAGCTTGTGGAGCCTATGCTCCATCAATTTTTCCAGTATGGCAAAGAGCTCTCTTAACCGCAAGGGACCCTCCCAGAATAACTTGTCGCCACCTTGAATACGACCAAGTTCCTGTCACCAACGACACCGCCATTCCAATCGACAACATGGCCCACCGCTTCATATTTTTTAGTCCTCTCAAAATCTCAGCCCTTCGTCAAACCTTACCTGCGCACCTTCGCCATTGTTCATCCTTCGAGCTCATCGCAGCCTATGTTTGGCGCCTCCGAACCATAGCCCTTCAACTGAGCCCAGAGGAGAAAGTGTGCTTTGTTTTCCCTGTAAATCTACGCACCAAGATCAACTCTCTACCGTTAGGATATTATGGTAATGTTTTGGTTTTTCCGGCCGAACTCACCACAGTTGCAAATCTTTGTGGTAACCCACTAGGTCATGCTGTTGAATTGATTAGGATGGCTAAGGCTAAGGTGATGAATGAGTACGTAAACTCTTTGTTGGATCTTGTAGTGATGAAAGGACGATCCCTTTTCACGACAGGTTGGCCATATATAGTATCAGACCTAAGGAGGGTTGGGTTTGAAGAGGTGGACTTTGGATGGGGAAAGGCCATTTATGGCGGACTTACAGCAGGAGGGTTCGGAACTTTCCCTGGCACGTTGAGCTTTTGTATGTCTTTCGTGGATAAAAAAGGAGAAAAGGGAATTATGGTACCTCTGTGCTTGCCTGCCTTAGCCATGGAAAGATTTGTGGCAGAGTTTGATGCCCTGACGAATGTGGAACAATTGGTTGATGAAGTTGATAGCCATCAGCAAAGGATCGTTGCATCCGCTTTGTAATAAGAATAAAATGTTAAAATATCATCAAGCAAAATAATTGTATCAGTACATTGTATATTTATTTTAGTTAATATTTTAAAATAAAAATACCTAGATATTTTAGAGAAGAGAGGGTCTTTAGTACAAATACCCTTAACCCTACTTAAGTTTTCAATCGAAGAAATACAAAGGAGTAGTATTCTAGAATGTGTCTTGTAATCTCTTCTCGATTGGTCGTAATAAAAAGTGAGAGTGTTTACCACATAGAGTTAGTGTTCAACATAAAATACCTAGTGATATGCATAGCTTGAAAAAAATATATTTAGGTAAAATTATGAATAAAGTTTTGGAGGAATAAGATTTGTTTTGTTTCAAAAGTTATATTTGGACTATTGAGAGTATTATTCATGATCAAGAGATATCCTACCATTTTAGAATTACATTTATACTATTGAGAGCACTTCCTTTGATTAGGTTGGCTCCTTTGAACACTTTTTCTAAAATATCCAACGTTTCTTTTGAAGTAGTTGCACTGGCAATCTTCTCAAACCCCGACTCGTCAAAGGCTCGGATCAAAATGTATAGTGCCACCTTATCCTTTGATCGTACCTCTTTCAACACCTTGTTTTGTGCCGTCGTATAACCCGTGATACCTTTTGATTCTTCAAAACCTTCTTCGACCACCTCCCATGCATCTTGAGAACCGAGAAGAGCTTTCATTTGAATGCCCTAATTCTCGTAGTTTGTCTTCTTTAGTCGCGGTAGAGGCATTTGACCCGTCACATTCGCTATAATACCAAATTGTAAAAAGCAAAAAAAAAACAAAAAAAAAAATCACACTATTTTTTCTTCCGTGAGTGGAGAGACAAAACATTTTTCTATTACTTATATGTTTTATGACTTTTTCTCTACTTCTTCCCAATAGAAAGAACAATCTACATTACTCTAATTTAAAATCCACTAAAAAAAATATATATATATATATATATATATATATATATATATATATATATATATATATTTAATTAATGTTTATTCAACAAAAACAAATTTATGAAGTTTTGTTTTCAATCCAAATTGATATTTACATATTACCAGTGAAGCTAGAAGAACAGATAGGGTTAAAATCAGACAATTTACCCAGTTTCTAGTTCGGAAGATCAACCCTGCATATGGATGCAACTTGTTAAACTGTATTAAATCAAGTAAAATCGACCAGTTTAACCTGAACACATACCTTACATTGAAGGTTAGGTGATCGCTTCCCTCCCACGTCCAAACACGTGTCGTTCCCTCCCACGTCCAAACACGTGCTGTGTAAACAAAATCTTAACATCTGATCATGACACAAACAGTTTGGGAGAATTAATCAAACCCTAAAACTAAAGGGATCATATTAAAACCAAAACATAAGAGGTAATTAACCCACAATAGCTATTTTGGATGAACAATCCTAAATAGCTATTATGGATGAACAATCCTAAATAGCTATTATGGATGAACTTACAATTATAAGAAAACAAGACCTCGAAAAGATGTGATATCTTCCATCTAAGCACACCATCCTTTCATGTTACATATCAGACACAGACCAAAGATATGCTTCCCTTTCAGTAGCTCGTTTCTCGTTCATCCTCTTGAACATTTGCTTCTCGAATCCTACAACGAAAACCAATTAAACAATGTATGAACATCGATGCAAGACCAAAACACAGAGTCGACGCCTGTGTCTGCTTTTTTTCGAGCACAATGCAGTTAAAAAGAATATACAAAGGCCTGACTGATCCTAACCTCAAATTATTTTTAAATTTAGTCCTCAAGCATCAATATGTTTCAATATACCACTAAGCTTTTTGATAACAATCGAAATGAATCAGAAATAAACTAACCGTTGCTACGATCGACTCCATCCCAATGTCTTCCTGGTCTTATACCATATCGATTGGGTGCAGCATCCAATCCCCTCTTTAGCCAGCTGTGAGGTGGAATATCCTGCGGAATAATGAAACCCTGATTCCTTCATCTTCTCACTGTCTCCTAGATCAGGAAGAGCCATCTCAGATTGCTTTTTCTGCAATATGTGCAATGCAAGAGGTCAGACGTATCAGTTCTTCAACTTCAACTCATTTTAGAATTTCAATTGGTTACCTTCACCAAATGTGCCATGGGATCGCCCCATCTCAGTCTCTCCCTCAACATTGAGTCAAGCTCGGCATCATTACTGAAAACAATTTGGCAGACATTAAAGGGCCTTCTAGTCTCGTAAAAGTACAACAAAAATTACACTTGGATTCAACTTTCAAGAATCCAGACGTTAGGAAATCTTTGACAATAAAAGGAAAGAGAATAAAGATACTAAAATTGGAGAGTATCCAGTTATAAACCTTCAACACCTAGCTAATAGAGGCACACAGGTATTTGATATCCCAGAAGAAGCACTGATGAAACTAAAATCCGAGAGTACTCAGTTTTACCTTGACCGTGCAAATGGTCTATCCTTCTCGAGTTCTAATTCCATACGTTCAGCTTCAGCTTCTCGTTTTTGAGCTAAGCCCTTGCCCCATTCCAATTTTATTTCCTGAGAAGGAAGATCATCACAAGCAGCGACAATGATATTTGATAAAAGCATATAGGTTATGATAAGAACTTGATCTCCTGAGAAGGAAGTCATCAAATACAGCCATAATAAAATTTTATCATACAAGAATTTATGATAATAACTACTCAAAGTACCTTGGGCTTTTCTTCTATTTTTCCTCGTGCTTTTAAGAATTCCTCTTTGAGGTAGATTGTATCACATAATGCCAAATTTTCGATAAGATAGGTTAGATGTCGATTGCCTAACCTTTAATCTTGTCTCGATACACAGGCTCTGCGTTACTACTTGCAGAAGGATTCATCTCTTTAAACCTAGAAGACAAAATATGGTTATTCCATCCTTTGTAAATCCATATAGAAATCGTTTGAAAAGCATAACCACACCAAGGCATAAACACATTTCACCATACTTCTCTAAGAAAAATGAAATAGTCTAAATTCAAAAACCAAACTTAAGATCTCATGGAAAAAGCAACCTCATTGAAACAGAGAACCGAACGCAATTGCATTGTATTCAACCAACAGGCTTGATTAAATTCCTCGAATTTAGCCAAAGTAATTAATTTTACTTAAAAGGCCCTTGTTTGGTAATGTTTTGGAGTTTTCAAACTTCACCTATGTTGACTCCGTAAGTTTTTATAATAGGGCTATGATGTTTTTTCTGACTACACTACTGCATAACAAAAGTAGTTTTCAGTGTTGAACCTGGCAAACATAGAGGGGTTCATTGATTCTATTATAACTTTCACAAAATGAACATAAATTAATACTGGGACTAATCGGCTTTAAAGATCATGTTTCACTGATCATTGCAACAGCCACTTAATGAAAGTTTGAAAACCATGGTCAAAAGCAAACCATAGTCTCTCCATCATGAAGCACAAATAGATATGGCATCGACTAATAGAACTTCATGAGGGGAAATACGGAAATATGTACAAACACCACAAAAAAAACTATCCAAATTCCGAAACACGTTCATCCCTCAGCAATTTTTATGTTCGGGCATTTGTTATGATGTGGTCATATGGCATCCTACATCATTCACAACCAGCCATCCGATTTTCTTATCAAAAAGATAGAAAAAGAAGATAATTATGGAGGAAAATTTCTTAGACAGAAGTGACTATTTAAGGCAGAACATTTTAAGGCTAAATAATATAGAATTCCTCACCTCGTCCAGTCCTCTTTGTTAGTTTTAGACATTTCTTCCCCAAACTCTTTCTGAGTAAGCAAACCAGTCTTCCGTGCCTGTTTAAAGGAGACTGAAACCGGCAGTGCTTTTTGCATTTTCCTATGTGGAGAAAGATCTGCTGGTGATTCTTGTGAATCATCAGTAACAATATGGCTCTGCAAATGCTTATCTGAAAGTGATCGATCTCTCCTCACATCCTTACTTTGTTTCCTTGGAGGTGAAAGATCAGATCCATGTGATATATGAGCACCATCAGCATAGCCTGAAGTTCTTCGTCGAGGAGGAGAAAGGTCAGATAACCCTGCAGCCTTGTGATTGCCCCCTAAATTTGCTTTAGACGCCTGCCTATCAGATCTCCGAGGTGGTGACAAATCAGACTGTGGAGAAACAGATCGTGCAGGTTTTACATCGGATTCAGGGGAGGGAGTATGGTAACGTTTCCTTCGCTGTCGTGGAGGTGATAGGTCAATATCTTTCTGTGCACAATCTCTATAAACATTCTGCTTTTGTGGTTGAGATAAGTCAGATCTTGGAGACTTAGAGTTTGTAGACATTTCCTCGTGTTCAAGTGAGCCAGGATTTTGCCTCTGCCTCCTCCGTGGAGGTGAAAAATCTTCACCTTCTTCACCAGATACTGAAGGCTTCAACTCATTAGATGGAGAAGGTGTATCATTCCGAGCTCTTGTTCTACGAGATGGAGATAAATCACCATTCACCATGCTAGAATTTGCATGGTTTGGAGAGAGTGAAACCCAACCACTTCCATCTTCACTTATGGAATTATATGGTCGCTTTGCTTTTAGTTCTTCAAGCCTCCTCATTCTCGTAACCTCAATATCTTCATCGACTTGGGGCTCCTCATCTACAGTATAGGAGAACGGAGATGTAAAAACAATAGCCAAAAAATCCCTAGGACAAAATATACACATTCATAAACAACACTAATACTTTACCAGTCGAATTATCAACATTATCCTCTTCAATAATTATTGGCTTCTGCCAGACAGGATCTTCGTCCACGACTAAACACCTAGAGCATTTGGTTTGGTTGCTGTTGCGGTCCTCTTCTTTTTCTTCTTCTTTTTCTTATCCACCTCGGTGTTACTTTCATAGCGTTTAAGATATTCCTTAAGGGACTTTGATTTCGCAGACATCGTTTAATCTCCCCAACCCTGCACCATATGATTAATCAAGTCCAAGTACATGAAACCAAAAATAGATAAGCACTCAAAAGACTGTATAATAAGAAAGAATACAAAAAGATATCGCAAGGTAACAGTTACATCAACATCACCATTCAACATTCAACAATTTGAAGAGTCTCAAACATCATACATTTTTTCAACCTAGCACTAAGGCATTCCGATAGAAGAATCACTTACCTTGTGTTAGCAACTTACAGAAAAGCCACAGCCAAATGTCCTCATATCAACCTAATATAAATTTCTGAAATTAAAACCAGCCTTAACAAATCCCAAGACTTAATACTATTAAATAACCCAAAGGAGTACTTAGGAGAGTAGCTAACTCAATCTTACCTAACATAGTCCTTAATGTCTCAAAATGGCCGATCCAAACCTAAACTTCAAGGGATCCAATGGCAAGAAGCTAATCTTGTGTACTTCAATCAAATACGAAAGAGTTCATAGTAACTAGATTCTTACCAAAGGGTTCAGATTCTTGTTGGTGAAAAGATTCTAACTCACGGATCTGAACTTTAAACATTATGGCAATCTGATTTGGGATTGTCTGGAGTGTAGGTCACGGCCAAGGATCGATGAACAGCCAAGAAAATGCACTTAAGAGATTACACTTGGGTCATTGTCACCCAAAGCACGTTGTCACTGTCCTTCAGCTCGAGGGTATCATTAGAGATGAAAACAGCTGCATGGTCGCTGGAAGAGAAATGCATAAAAATAGTCGTATGGAGCAGTGATCGAAACCATCGCACTGAACAACAAGCAAAAATTGATGAAGAAAAACAAGATGGTTCTTTTGTTACTTTCAGGCGATTGGAAAGCAAGGAAATAGTAACAAGATACCATCTCAATTCATCCTATTCCATCATATTTTATTTGGAATGTGATATGGTTCCAATGGATGAACTGCATATGGACAGTTCATCTCAATTAGGTATTTATAAAATATCATCTCAATGCATCCTATTTCATCGGATCTAGAATGTGATATGATTCTGAAGAATGAACTGGATATGGACATTTCATCGACAGAGTCCTATACAGGCCCAAGTGAACGAGAGGAATGCAACAAATAGACGACATTGGGGGCAGCAATATGCGGGAAGAAGAACAGATTTTGTTTCTTGTGCTCCTTTTTTTTTCTCATTCTTTTATTTTCCTTTTTTCTTCCCTTTTCATTTCCTTTTCTTTTTCTACAACTCAAAGCTACACTATATTCCAAACATGGGGAGAAATAACTTGGACTTTTCAAGCTTCACTTAATTAAATTATCAAAATTAATAACTCCAACAAATCCAATAAGAACTAAATTAATCCAAAATATATGTCAAAAGTAGAAATTAATCTTAGGGAAGAACATAGCGCATTACATCTCGCCTCCATTTCTCTTTCTATTTCTCTTTCTTTCTTCTCTTCTTCTCCTTTCTTTGTCTTTCACTTCTTCAATTTCTTCTTCTCTTTCTTTCTTTTCTATTCTTCTTCTTTCACTTTTTTTTCCTGAAATGCGAGACGTTACAAACTCTCCACCTTTAAAAATAGCCGTCCGTGAAAGTTGCTAGGTCTAATAACTTTGAACACTTGGCCTTGATTTCATCTCTTCTTTACCAAGTCACTCCTAAACTTAAACCTTTGGCCAGATTGGTGTGGACACCTAAATTAGCCAAACAGCTCTAGCTCTAAGATCACTTAACAAACAATCGTCAAGAAAACAAAAGATGGAACACTAAGGACCAAGAATAGTCCTAGTGTAACAAATTAACAAAACATACAGTGGGTGAGAAGCAAATAAAAGGTACGAGTCTAGGGTAGTGTTCCTGTTGCAACTATGTTAGCATATCCCACAGCTTCCTCTATGAGCAAAAACATGTGCTTTCTACTAGCCTCCTTGTGTTCGTGCTAAAATAGCTTTGGGTGTTGGCTTGTGAGAATTTTGCTCACCCTTGGTCAGACACGACCTTGCAAAGTGTCCCTTTCTACCACAATTGAAACAAGCTCTCTACTTTGTTCAGCATGGCTCAAAGTGATGCTTTTGTAAACAAAGGGCATAAGAAACAAGTAAATTGCTTATTGTTGAGGAACCCCCTGAGATTGAGTAGATAGAAAAGGAGATTTTCTCTTGATTCTATAAGTAGGCCTGATCACAAAAAGTGGTTGCACCTTTCCTAAGAGACTTTTTTGGTTTCTTGGGATCTTAGTCTCTCTTGCCAAGGTCTTCCTAGGTCCTTCTCTTGGTGAAGGGTTAACCTCATGTTTAGTCAACATAGAGCATAACTCTTTGTAGGGTCATCATGTCGCTTCCTTTTAACCCCAAATGAAGTGCCTACTTCTTCAGGCTACTCCAGTCTTGGAACATCTCTATCTAAAATCATGGCACTCATAACTACAGCGGCATAAGCATTCAGTCGTCGAAATGCTATTAGTCCTTTTATATCTTTACGAAGGCCCTCAATAAACCTCCCCACCTTCCTCGTTTCTGTGTCGATCTGATAAAGAGTAAAGCAAGAAAATTCAACATACCCCCTCTCATATTGTATCACTGACATGCTCCCTTGAGTGAGTAATGAAAACTCCGCTTCTATACCTTATTCTATAGCATCAAGGAGGTATTGATCAATCGATAGATCCTTGAATCAAGCCCAACATTGTAGGTCATCCATGCAAACCATTAATGGATGCACTAAACTCCATCAAGTGATGAGAGGAGAATGAGAAAGGCCATTAACTCTGACTTAGCAACCTGTTTCTAGGACAATATTTAGGGACCACTTCGCTTTGATATCAACTATAACATCCCCAAATTTTTATGCTAAATTAGGGCACATTACCAAACTTTAATACCTAATTAATCTCAAGTTCAACATTAAGACAATGTAACAGACTAACTTGTTCACCCAACATACTCAACATTCTCAAGATTCATCAGAAGCAACATAGTTCAAATAAGCGTACATCAAGTAACATAAGCAATTAAATACTGCAGCATGCTTAGCAAACAGCAAACAGACCCAACAGTTAGAATTCTACTCCTGTTGTGTTCCTAAACTAGTCAATAGGCTCCTGAAACAACAAGATCATGGTCTGAAGGTTAGAACTCAGTTCCAAAACCTTAATCGAAGTTAATGGCTGTTCAGGAGGGTTTATCAACTATTTCTTACCCACTAACAACCTTAATCATTGACCAAACAGTCCGAATTTAGTCCAAAACTACAAATAGGATAGTTCTAAAGGTTAGAAGCTAATTATAGCACTAATATGAATTTGAAAAGGTCCAAACAGAACTGCACCACCTCAATCTTATCAAAAACGACTCCAGTCTTTGCTGAAAAGTTTTCAAAGGAGTCCAAAACTAGTCTAAGAAAGAGCTTCCAAGTGTAAAGAACAATTTTAAAACACTTCATTTGAGTTCAAAAGGAATTTTGAGCATCTTTACCCAATGAATCTTATCTAAAAGGACTCGAATCCTTGCTGGTTGGTGTTGGATTCGATTAGAACTCTCAGATCTAAAGTCGTCCTTCGTGGGTCCTCCGATTGGGAATCTAAGCTGTGGGCACTCAAAATCAATCCAAAAATAGAGTGGGTATTGATGTCTGAGGTTGTTTGAGCGTGGGTAATGGCTGAAAGCTGCCTTCAAATTCAACTGCTAGTCAGAAGCTTGCACCGCTACGAATCGAACTGCCAGCTGAAGCGTCGCGTGAAACAGCAAGGGCCGGACGCCGCTGCTGGCCGAGGTTCGCGTGGGGTTTCTCGCAAACGGAGCTCACGCCGGAGAGATTCCCCGAATCAAGTAAGCTACGGTCAAGAAATAAAACAATAATTTTTAAATTTAAGAAAAATAACAACAAAAGTTATTATAAAATTTGATTTAAGATATAAAGATATTGTTGGAATATATTTTATATAGTTGTAATCAGGATGACGTTGGAGTTGGTTGGTAATATACTTAAAGAGTTGATCAATAGTATATTTTGTCACGACCTAATTTTAGAGGCTTCGAAAATGGAACCACGACAAAAAAGACTAAAAGCTAAAACAAATAACAATAAATAAAAAAAAGAATTTAAAAGAAAAGTAAAATAAAAGAGGAAAATACAAGGAGACAAGTTTAATTTTTCAAATGGAATACAAACTAAAAAAAATATACAAATATAAAAGGAAGTTACAAAAAATTTAGATTAACACTCTAGAACGACTCTCTCTATGACCGCACAGCTCTAGAACGCTCCTCCACCTCAATCGATAGCTAGCGAACACCTGAAAAAAAAAAGGAAAAACTAGGATGAGTATAAAAATTATATTCAGTAAGTTATCTACTTGTAGGCTCTCATGGCATCCTAAGCTTAACCGAATTCTCATGGACTCCTAATTGGCTCTAGGACATTTGGTTCTGGTCTTAATCCCTTGGACTTGCCCCTTAGAACTGGTTTGTTTTTTGTCAATGTTACCGGTTAAAACACCTAGAGCATATGGTTCTGGTCAATGTTACAACTTTGTTTTTAGTATCTGCATTATCTATTAACTCTACTAGTTCTAATTCATGGATTCTTGATAGTGGAGCTACAAATTATATAATATCCAGAACTTTTGTTATGACTGAACCAAACATTGCAATCATTTCTACAATAAATTTGCCTAATGGAGGGACGACACAGGTGTCACGTACTGACAATGTTTCTTTTAATCTTAACCTTAAATTAAACAATGTTTGTGCCTTCTGAGAATGTTTGCTTAAACCACCACACCAAATATGGGGTGAAAGTTATCTATTTATAATCAAATAAATGATTTAGAAAAAGTTATAAATGGGAAGAGTAATAAATGGAAAGATACTTGTGTTGTGGTAAGAAGGCAAATATCTATATTTGCCTTACAATAAAATATCAAATATCCCCCCAAGCGGATCGTCGGATTTGAACGAACGTGAAGCTTGGATCTGAAAAATTCAAAGAGAGGTCGAGAAACGCTTTTCGTGAAAATGTCGACAACCTAGTTCGGAGGAGGCATAGAGAAACACTTTCTTGGGTATCGAAAACTGCAGAGGAATCGACGCTTAGCGGCAATGCTGCCTTGGCATCGGCGAGAATATGTCTAACCTATGAGAAGGATCATCGCTCAGCGATGATGCTGCCTTGGCTCCGGTGAGAATATGTCTAACCCAAGAAGTAGAAGGGGAAACATAGAGCAAGGGACAAAGAGAATGTTGAAGTCGGAAGAATCGCCACAGTGGGCGAAGGAGCCAATTTTGGCGAGAAGGGCGGTGGCGACTTGGTTGGCAAAGAGGCCAGTGCAGCGCCCAGATTCCAAAGATAAATCTCTACAGAAGGTCGATGGGCTTATCGAGATTCCATATATTTTCGAAGAGAATAATGATGAGGATCTTGAGATTAGGGTTTCTATGAAGGATGAAGGGTTGATTGGGAAGAAAATGAGAGAGACTATGTTGGCTAAGGGGAAACTGATTGTATTGAAGAAGGTGAGGTTGTATGTACGGAGTATGGCGAAGGGTGATTTGGAGGTTAAAAGGGTGGAAACGAAGAGTAATCAATTGGCTCCGCATGTGGCAACCATGGAGACTGCCCCTGCGATGTCAAAGCGAGCAGTGGTGGTGGGGAAGAACAATAGAGGATTCAAAAGTCATTGAAAAGAAAGGATCGGGGTTGCTAAATCGAAAGAACTCTAATACTATGAGAATGTTTACTTAAATCATCGCACCTAAATGGTATGAAAGTTATCTATTTATAATCAAATAAATTACAATGATATGGAAAAGTAATAAATGGAAAGATACCTATGGTAAGAAGGCAAATATTGTCTTATAATAAATATTGTCTTAATGTACATCAGCAAACTTACCAATGATTTGAATTTGTGTCACCTTCTATCCAGATTCTTGTGTTATGCAAGAAGGGCTACGGGGAAGATGATTGGGTCGGGTAAATAATTCGAAGGTCTCTATCATATTTCTTCATCTCCAATCAAATCTTCAGCTCATCAAGTATCTCAGTCATTTGATTTGTGGCATTTATGCTTAGGTCATTCTTTATTTTCTCATTTTAAATTTCTAGCGAATCAATTGCATCTTAATAATGACTTTTTCTCATAACAGTAGTATTTGCCCATTAGCAAAACAAACTAAGTTATCTTCTCGAAGAAACTCAAAACAACACATTCTGCCTTTGATGTATTACATTATGATGTTTTGGGACCCCATAAAATTCCTATCTCATTCTAGTTTGTGTTTTTTCTGACTGTTGTTGATGATTTTACTCGATGTACTTGAGTTTTTCTTATGCAATATAAATCAGGAGTACATTATTTGTTAATGAGCTTTGTTAATTTGTTCAAACCCAATTTCACACTATTATCAAGATAGTACAATCAGACAATGAGACCGAGTTCCTACCTTTGCAACCATTTTTTACTTTTTGTGGCATTGAATTTCAGCGCACTTGTGTCTATACTCACAACAAAATGGAGTCGTAGAACGTAAGAATCGTCATATCGTAAATGTAGCTAGGTCTCTTCCCTTTGAGTCACAGGTTCCACTTAATTTTTGGGGAAAGTGTATTTTAACTTCAAGAAACGATAAACATATCGAAAGAGAAAGGGGATGGGAAAATCGCAAATTTTCTACAATGAACTATTTGTGCTTTGGAGAGAGCAATCGATCTGCCTGTCACCACCTCGATGCGAGCGCGAACGTGAAAACTGAAGCGCGAGGGCTTATCGAAGGAGGAGGAGGGGAGAAAGTTGAAACAAAATTTAATTTCAAAACAAACCCTAAATTAATAATAATTCTCAAAATTACTTTCAAATTTTTAAAAAAATTGATAACATTTTTAAACTCTATAAAAACACTTTTTAGTTTTAGATTAAAATTTTTTTTAATTTTTTATTGAATTTTTTCAGAATCATGCCTCAATTGAGAATCGCATTAAGAACACATTATATACGGAAAGTATTGAATGCATTTGAATTATGAATTGACAAGGAACATGAATATCAATCTCATAAATTTCTTTCATCGCAGGTGAATTTTATGAACACTTCGAAAAAAAAAATGCAGTCGAACTGAAAACAATCACTACCAGTTTAATCTAATTATGTAATTTTCATGCGACATGAAAATTAAACAAACAACAAGAACAAATTACAACAAAGACTCTACTCCAGCATATTCAGTCGTCGCGCGACAGAGTGGTTTCCAGAGATATGTAACGACGACGGCAGACATTGGTTGTTTTCAGCAAGGTGAATCGATGGCATCGGTGACCATTGGAGGCTTTTGACGAGGTCAATTGATGGAGGCGTCGACGGCCATCGAAGATTTTCGTAGAGGCCAATTGATGGAGGCGTCGACGGCCATTGGAGATTTTCAAAGACGCCAATTGATGGAGGCGTCAGCGGCCGTTGGAGATTTTCGAAGAGGCCAATTGATGGAGGTGTCGGCGGCTGTTGAAGGTTTTCGACGAGGTCAATTGATGGAGTCGTCGGCGGCGGTTGGAGGTTTCCGACCAGGGTAATCGACGGAGGAGTTGACGGCTGCAGAGCAGGTATCGGAGATCCTTCTGTTCTGATATCCGTAAATTTCTCCACTCTCTCCGCCACTTTTGCTCTCAGTTCCACCAACGACGACCGGAATCGCTTCAGTTCGTCGATTTTCATAGATTCCAGCGGCTCATCCCACCAAAATCGATCGTTACTCGAGCGCTCTGCCGCGCGCCTCTTCTCAATGTCGAACTCCGCCGCCACATCGTCAAAATCGCGGTTCAACTCCTGCAGAGGGAAGTAGGCCTCAGCCGGCTTAGGCGGAGAAGAGTTTCCAGTGAGAAAACGGTCCAAGAGCGACTCAACATTGGGATGACCGAATGTATAGAGCTTGTTGCTAGCAGAGGAGACGAGGATCGCGATCTCAGCACCGCACAGAACGGAAAGCTCCGCCGCCTTGTTGAAAAGTCCGGCGCGGCGTTTAGAGAAGGTAACCTGCTGGCTACTCTTCTTCTCAAGCTTTTTGATTTCAATTTTCCGACGGCCGAGAGATTTCTTCATGGTCGACAATTTGAGAGAGCAGTAGAATGGGAGTGTTGAATTCCGGAAAGAAATACAGCTGTCGTCGACCGTTGAGACGCGCCGATGATTTATAGGCGTATAAAATCATTTTTAATTATATAAATTCTGATTCTTATTAAAAATATAAATATTTATTTATTTATACGCATTAAGTTTTTTCCTTTTTTGTTTCAATTTATATAAATTAGGGAAAATAACCTCTTTTTTTTTATTAATTTAATTCTTACATCATTTTTTAAAAACAATTACCCATGGTGGCATGGTCGGGTGCCCGTGGTCGTAGTCATATAAAGTTGTTTTTTAAAAACAATTATACAGTCATGTTTGTTCAAGGCGTTTTACTCATGGTTGCATGCCCGTTATATGCTGAAACCCTTTCACTTTATTGCTTTCATGATGTATAAGTTTCTTCTTGTGTTTTCTAAGTGTATGACGCTTTCGAATCATGTCTACATCCAGTAGACATAAAATGCCCCATAATGTACTATAGGGGATACGACTAGTCGTCGACTCCTCCCACCAAGACTTTGTATGAGCGTCGGCAAAAGCACGTCTACGCCTGCCAGACCTAAATCGTCTTAAAATGAAGAGGATGTGACTAGTTGTCAAATTCTACCTACCCGAAAAGTTATATGCTATTTTAAGTCATTGTGTTGTCTTTTGCTCGTAGTCTTATAAAGTTGTTTTCGATCTTTCTTTCAACTTTGCTTTCAAACTCTTT